AACGCTGGCAAATTGAAGGTCCCTCTCAGAGCATTGTATAGCTGCAGCCTTACTCCATGGCTTCATAAAAAGCTCACAGGTCACTTGCTTGGCCTGAAGCACCTGCAAAGCCTCATGATGGAGTTTCTCAAGGCCCACATCAGTTGCTGGCAGTGTCAGGAACCTCCTCCATTGCATGGCTGCTGCCCTGCACACACACTCGCACCTCTCTTTTGAAGCAACAGAAGCCCACAGTGCAAACACAAGCGGTTGTTTCAGTGCAGTCTCTGCATGTGGCACAGCAGCCTCTGCAAATGCGTTTCTCTCCTGCCAGCACTACCCATTGCTATTTGGCCTCAGGAAGCTCACAAGCGCCACCTTCTTACACACCCAGTGTTTTCACTGATGACTGAAACATCATGCAAAAACAAAGAAAAGAAGTGAAGATGAGTTCTTTTGAGTTTAAAAAGAAGCTTCTTCTAGTTTCCGGTAACTATCCCCTTTGGTTTGTACTGATGAAAACCAGGCAGAGTAGCCATGCTGGTTTTGCAAGAACCACAAAGAATTTGGATCAAGACCCGCCAGACAGCTCTGGCCCAAGGCCCATCACTTCTGCAGCACCAAGCACACCTTATACTTGCTGGGATCTGTCCCTTTCTCTTGCTTCTGGAGCCCTGGATGTGCAGCTTGCCCAGAGCAGCCAGTCTGCAGCAGGCAGACCAGCACTGCATCCCACAGTGACAGCCCCAGCACTCCAGCAGCAGTAGCTGCCCTCCAAATAACCCAACCGAGCAAAACAGAAATTGCCTGATAAAAAAGTACCAGGAAAAAACCCAGTACAGCTCCCTTCCTTTCCTCAGCAAAGGATCCTTGTGTCTGAATCCCATCTCACCGGGATGCATCACTGCTTCCCCAGACATAAGTTTCTCAAATCCTCTGCTTGCTGTCATTTTTAATTTCACTGCCCCGTGCCCTGGATATTTTTTTCTCTCAAAGTTCCAGTACATGGACATAAAGAAATCTAAAGCAGTATCTCAGCATGGGGCCTCTGACACCTAAGCCGGGAGAAGGGGACTCTGGGAATGTCTAAAACTCCCTATCCCATGAGCTCTGGTGAGACTTTGAGTGATTATTTCTTCTACATTTTGCTCTCTGCAGCCTTTTTACACTTCACTTTCACAACATATCAATCCTTTTCCCTGTCTGTCTTCTAGGTTTGTCCCAAGGGACACCTACTCCCACACTAAAACCACACCATAGACAAGATGAAAAGTCTTTGGAAGATACCAGAAAACTGTAAGAGTCAGCTAGGACTCTGGCAACCTTGTAGTCAGAAGATCACTCTTCCACGTTCAGCGTTCATTCTTGGGAACCTTCCCAGACCTTCAGCCTGCATGAATAAGTCAGCAATCAGAGGCAGGAAGAGAGCAGGAGATGCATTACCACCTCAGCACCAGCTCCCTTAACAGATCTGAGTCCTGCCAGCTGCAGCAGTCCAACCCTGCCTTTTTTCTAATTCCTCAGAATATCTCAAAGATCAGGAGAAAAAAAAAAAAAGAGTCCATGGAGACTATCCCTTCATCCTCTGCCAGCAACTCCTACCCCATCACCAGGCAGCTCCCCTGTTCCAAAAGGGAAGCAAACAGAAGAAAAATCTGAATTGCCATCATCCCTGCTATAACCTCATAGAACACGGTCAGTGCACCCTGAGAAGAGGTAAATGTACCCCCCCCAGTCACCTGGAAAAACCTCCTCCAGAAAAAGACATCGAACAGTTGCATAGGGATAGTCACACAATGTTTCTGAGCCATGAAGTTTTCAGACCTCACATCAGGAAGAATCTGAAGTTGTAGCCCATAATATTTACTCTTCCTCCCCTTTTTCTCACTACATGTACACCCTGCAGCCCCCTGCAATCCTCCCTACCTCCTGCTGATGTTCAATTCCACACTCACTGCCCTAGTGAAGGAAGTGGAGCATGGACAGACTACAATCTTACTGAAAACAGAAGGTAAACAAAGCCTTGCAAGTAACTCACCCCTCATTAAAATGCTCGGACATGGCGGCTGGCCTGTATCCTGCTGATACACAATCCCTCTGTAGTTCTTCATTACCACTCCTCAACTTCTCAAAGACGTTCTGGCACACACATACACACAAGCTCTCCAGAGGAGCCACCAGAAATAGACTCTGGGGTGTAAAAGTTAACACCAAAGAATAAGATCTTTGATCAGTTGTGGAATGTGCAGTAAGAGGTGGGATGCAAAAGCTGTTATACCATCGCCTTTCCTTGGAGTAAAGGGACTCTAAAGATAAAAAAAAAAGTCAAACCAAAATGGACGATTCTCAGAGAGCAAAGTGCAGCAGGAAGGGACTAAGTCAGGGCAGTCTCTGCACACTTGGCCTCTCCATCCAGATGGCGGGGCTGCTGTGCCTGCCTGGGGCGTTAGAGCTCCATCCTTCTCCAGAGGAGTTGAATTAGCAGGTAAAGCAGCAGCAGAACTGGCATCCCAAAGATTCACACTCCCTCACTTTCTGCACGAGGATTGTCCTCTGCAGGGAGAGAGGAGGGTTCTAGCTCCTGGATCTGCAGACGAGGAGGATCCTGCCCTTCCCTCCTCCATTTAGGCCTCCACTGTCCCACCAATGGCTCTGCCGCCTTCCTGCTCCTCAAAGGCCACAACCTTTTTCCCTTACTGCATTCATCAATAACTTTAAACCTTTCTTCAATCTTTTTTTTTTTTTTCTGGACTATGAACTACTGAAGTCAAGGCCTGCTTCCTTCCATTCACATTTAGGCTAGAGCCTTAGCCCCAGCTGCAGTCTGCTGGCTGTGCAGGGAGCATCCACACATACAGCTAGGGTTATCACAGCAGAAAGCAGGCCTATCCCGCCAGGTAAAGACACTCATGGTGAAAGCCCAGAGTGCTATGAAGAGAGACATACACACACTGAGGACTCGATTCTTCTGTGTGCTGCACTTTTTGGACCTAAGCCACCAACACATGGAAGTAGGAATTTAACTGCAAGGTAGTGGTGGGCTCGTGCAGCCGTAACACTGCCTATCCCTGGTCTCTCCAGCCAGCCTGATGAGTTGGAGCAGATTCACGTTCTTCTATATATATGCTACATCTTCAACTTAGGCAGAAGAGGCCCTTCATTTGTTTCACTGGAGTCACTGGATGAAAGCTAATCGTACAGGTTAAGCACTCTGCTGAGCCAAAGGTGAAGTGTTCAGCAACATGTAAAAGCGATACTAAGACACACAGAATTTCTGCAGGAAGGAAAGAGTTGACTTCTCTGTTATTGGACTACTGGGACGAACAAAAGGGAGCAAAATTTTCTACTCTTAACATTTTTATAGGATAGCAACCTTCCTACCATGGTTATTTATAAAGAAATGTTACAGACAGTGTTAAATTATACACTGCAGAATTTCAAAAGATGACTTAAAAATGATGATTCTTTTTTTTCCTCTTCTATAAACACAATCATTTCTAGGGAACTTTATTTATTTCCAAGTAAATACTTAGGGATCCCATAAGGACTGTGGTCCACCCACGTGTACCCCTTGCTGCTCGATTCTCATCTGCAGCAACTACATTTGCTTGGATTCAATTACGATCTCAAGCCTGATACACCAAGGGGCAGTGGGTATGAGGCAGCTTCCCCGGAGAGCATACAGGTATGTTACAACCACAGAGAGGGCTTAAGCGCTGGTCTGGGGAGCCTGACAGCAGCACATTATCCAGGAGTCACATCAGCTCCATTTCCACATTCTCCTTATCCACAGTGAGCGAGAGGAACAAGCAAGTAGGAGCACCCATAAGGCTGGGTAAAGCAGTAGGTTTGTAAGTGCCTCACAGACGCTTCATCTCAGCTGCATTAAACCCCAGCCTTTTTCTGCCCTTCCCTTCCTACCACCATGAGGTGTTTTTAGGCCAAATATTGTAAGTAATATGTCACCAGAGTTTCTCATGCCTGAAAAAAAATCAAGGAAAACTGCAGTACATCATTGTTTTAAAGCCCTTCCATTCGCAAAGTTAGCACAATTCAGCCAAGGTCAACTTGAAGGTCATTAGAACAGATCCAAGAAAAAAGGTAGGGAATCATTGCACTGGCTGTCCAACACTAGTGTGATTGGGCTTACTCTTTTAGCAAAAGGCATTTCCTGCCCGTAGGGTTTTAAACATACACGGTTTACATAAAATAATAATATCACTCTACATTATGTTTTATTTAATAATTTTATCCTCTGCAAAACCGTTTAGTGCTCCAGAACAATCTGCTACTTGTTCACACAGGAATTTCTGTGTATTCCACAGAATTTTCTAGAGGTTTTGTAGCAAATTTATTGTCTGCAAAATGTTTTCTTTCCTCACAGAGAAGACATAGACCTGTTAGAAGTCAAGGGAGTTTCTCTCATGGTCTCTTGCCCATCAAGCAGAACTCATCATAGGCTGACAGGGGCAATTTCTGCATCTAAAAAAATGACACATTAGCTAGCGCATGTTGGTGTCCTCAACTAGACAAGACAAACCTCGTTTAAGCCCTGTTGAAGGAAGCCCTGGGAATAAATCCATAGGTTACCTCTGCCAGCAAAGACAGACTGCTGCACGTACACTAAGCCCATCAGTTAACACACTATAACTCACCTTTTTTTACTCCCCAGTGAAAGCAAGACCTAGGAGCGACAAACCAGCGCAGAAGCCTTGTGCAGTGCAGACTCTCACTTCCCAGCTGAACTTCTTCCAAGGACATCTGCTCTAGGGGTGGATTTATGACAGGGCACCTGTCCACTGAAGCTGAACTTGTCCCCGCAGCCCACCCCACCCTTGAGTCACCAGACTGCCTTTTCTGCTCAAGGGCTTCACAGATCCAGAGGGTGACTCCTCCTGTCTCTCTGCTGCTGAGATCTCACACTAAGCCTTTATCATAAATAAATGCATTTTCATTTTAAGGCCTATAAATAAATAGGTGCATGCATATACGGATATAAACAAGGCATGTCATTCTCTTACCTGAGCCGTTTCTACCTTCAGGATGGTTTTGTGAAAGATATTCTCCGAAAGCCCTTGCCGCTCTGCATATCCAAGCATCACAGAAGGCAGCAAAGGAGAGAAAGAAAGAGATGGGGAATGGTTAAAGGCCAAGGAAAAAAAGGAACAGTTCAATATTGACACACTGCTGTTTTCCTGCAGCTGCCTTTCCCTCAGCTTCAGGTCACACCACTTTAAACATGCTGCAATAGTAGAGGGGGCTTCCTGGTTAACGTGCCTCAGTTTTCCCCTGGCCAAAGGGAAAAATAGAGTTGGACTACAAGGCCACGACTATTTTAGTCTTTAGCTTCTGTTAAAACAAGAAAAAAAAAAAAGAAAAAAAAGAAATGCACCTGCATTAAACTTGGCCTTGTTTCTGTGGTGCACACAGGAACTGGATTGTTGTCTCTAACCACCCTGTTAAGCCCCTTCCAGTAGCCCAGGGAAGAAGGTATCTCCACCCCAGTCCCAACCATCACCCCAGCCTTCTACTCCAGTTCTGAACGCTCCTGTCTGTGAGATATCACAGCTTAGATGTCAGTGCTAATACCCATTTTACCTACCTTTACCCTACATTCTCAAGCACCAACTATGTCAGTATTTGGATGACTGGACAACCTTAATTGAGAGACACCCACAACACCCCGCAAAAGCAGTTCTTGGTTCTCTGCTGGATTTAGGTCCCATGGATGACTGAGATTTTACTGAGATATACTAAAGAATCAACTAGGCAGGGTGAGCTCAACCCTTATCACACATCAAGGCCTACATAAGGGAGCAAACCTATGAATATTCCACCCTGGGAAAAGCTTTCTGCTTGCAACCCACACAGGAAAGGAATCCTTGGTCACAGCATGCATTCCCTGGTATATAGCAAATACAATCTCCAGTCTCCTATTGCTAGGACATTTGTAACGTCCTGCTGCTGTGCTTGTTCTCCTGTACCCAGACCTGTGACTCAAGAGAGCTAATACCAGCTTTTCGCCAGCCATCCATTTTCCCCAGGTTTGTAGAACAATCTCTCCAAGCTCTGTAGCATCACGATCAGGCTGATAGTTGCCAATTGACAGTCCGGGGTGGAGGCTCCCAAACAATTAAACGAAACAGCCACTCACCTCCTTGCCAAGCCAAGCCAACAAAACCCAGCAGCCAAAAACCCGGCAGCCAAGCACTGTCTGCCTGCAAGCACACCAGCATCTCTTGGGGGAGGAGACAAAGACTTGCCGCAACAGGGAAGACTCTCCATACCAAGGCATCACGTCCACTGTCCTCCTCCTCCTCCAGAGGTGCTCAACCTCAGAACACCCTTCTCCAGTTCAAGCTGCCACAAAAGGCTACACTCATAACAGCCATTAAACACCTAAGTGGAAAACAGCTTTGACCTCCAAAACAACCTGCTTTGCTCCTATGCGACAGCATATCCCAACCTGTGTAGCCAGGATCTTCCCCCACTGCTTTTATACACCTCCTCCCAAAGGGGAAAAGATTAACAAAGCTACGATGTACCTCCCAGCACAACTAGAGCTGGAAGGAGTGGGAAGTCCATTTGTCATACACAGCCAGCAACAGGAGATCGATATGAACGATGAAGAAAGAGTAATTTAATCTCCCTGGGACTAAATTTCAGCACAGCCAAATGCAAAATGCTTTAGAACAACGCAGCCGGAGCTGAGCAAGAAGCAAGGTTTAACCTTCTGCATCATTACAGGCTAACATACCAGGCTGAGGTTTTTTCTGTTTCTAGATTCTTGCCTGTCTAGTACCAGACTGTACCTTTAGACACTAGCCTGGGGTGGCAGTTGCCCAAACTGTCTTCCTCAATGCCAAAGCACCCCCAGAGATGGTTACACAGTGGCTCTGTCACACAGGGGAGCTGCACAATTGGTACGCAACGCCCACTATGAAGAACAAAGAAATGACCACCATCATGGTTCACCCATACAGGGGGACAAGCACCTCACGAATGTTCCTTGCACCCACCACCTTTCTGTCTGGGCAAAAGGCAGGACTTGGGCCTGGGGCAACACTCAAAAAAAAGTTGGGAGCTGGAGTGTGGCAGCTTCAGGGAAGTGGTTGAGTCACCATCCCTGGGGCATTTAAAAGATGTGTAGATGTGGCACTTAGGGACACGGTTTAGTGGTGGAGTTCACACTGTTACGTTTACGGTTGGACTCAGTCTTAAAGGTCTTTTCCAACATAAATGACTGTATGATTCTATGCAGCTGCAAGAGCACTCCTGAGCTACTCCTGCATGCCATCTTAGAGGTGGTTACGGCTCAGCCAGAGTCAAGGCTGATCTCACATAGCACTGGCAACAGCCCCACTTTGAGCAGATGGCTGGGCTTGAGACTTCCAAGATCTCTTCCGTCAAGACTTCTGAGACTCCAAGTCTTCCCACAGAAATGTCTATCCTTGCAAGGCATCATCACCACCATTCACAAACAGGGCACTTACACTCTTGGGAAAGACTTGGAAGCTTCTGTGGTGCAGAAGTCATTTCATGCAGAAAAAATAACAACAAGCAATTTCTCAGGTAAATTATAGTGAGAGAACATGGTGATTTACACAAAAAAATGCTGAAATATGATAAAATTTAGTCTGTAACTAGTTCAAAAGCTCCAAGAGGATGTTAGCTCATCTATCATTCTCTCCATTCAACTCTCTGCCAATGCCTGAAGCTGATTTGTCTGCCTTAAAACCTGAACCAATGCTTCACCCTTAGCTTGCAAACCACAGGCTCAAAAAACCAATACTAAGCACTTCCTAAGACTCAAACCGCAAATGGCTAAAATGGAGCCAGAGAGAAGCACTGCCACTTTCCATCCCACCTTGTTCCATAGCGAAAATAGCGTCACTCAGAATAAGAGCCTGAGTTTAAAGGTGCTGCAGTGTCTCCACCCTCACTCTCTTGTTTCCCCAAGAAGATGCAGCAGGAGGATAAAATCCCACATGCCAGAGCTCCCAGACCTCTCCTTGCAGCTCAGAAGCACAGTCGAGCAGCACAGAACTACTAAAAAATGTTGTTGCCTGGCCCAGGCTGAACCTGCAGTTCTGTCGCTACCGTTCTACTGCTCAGATGCTGCAGGCCAACCCAGAAGCAAACAAACGTGGATGCTTGATCAGAGTTATCTAGCGACAGCTAATAAGGCAATGATGCCTGCACAGTACAATGTGCAATGGGGGTTTTCCAGCCAATTACACTGCAAACTTCAGACTAATCTTTTGCCTATTATCTCAGTGGTTCCCTTCTCCATTCCT